CGGGTTGGTCCAGTAGCGCCGAGGAGCGGCGCTGCGGGACCAACCCGGCAGCACTCCAGCTGCTCTACCCCAGGCGTCGGTGAGAAAAGCCTGGTCTGCTGGGGGGGGGTGCACTCGGCTGGGGGGCCCCCCCAGCAGCCCAGGGAGACACGGAGCAGCTTTTCTCGCCGCGGAGGACGTGGGCGGCGGGACCGCAGTGCGTCTGGGCGGTCCCACCGCCCATGTCCTCCGCGGCGAGAAAAGCCCTGTTCGTAAGTAGGGATCCGACGTAAGTCGGATCCACGTAAGCCGGGGACTGCCTGTATAACATTAGTTTTGGCAAGTTAGTATAAATCTTGAAGCCTATAGTATCTTTTGTACAGACTAACAACCCAATGAAACATCCCAAGTTATTGGGGAGCAGAAAAGAGAAGTTAAGTGCACCTGTAGATGTAATGTGTTTGATACAGACACTGTTCTGTGTGGACTATCGGCAGAGGAATAAGTAAAGGTTAACTAAGTAAAAGACTCTGGGTACTCTATGGCCAATTTTGCATGGTAACCAATCAAAACCAATCAATGTAGGTACCCTTATGGTCCCTTGGAGTATCCTGTTACAAATCCAGATTATTCCAAAGTAACCAAGCTTTAATGGGGAACCAAGCAATTTTCCTTATTTCCCTAAAGTTGCAATCATCAAAAGTATCTTCTGTATGATGCTCCTCAGAGGGGGAACATACCACTGAAACCATCCCTTCACATACCTCACTATTTACATCCATACCAGGGTGATGAGGTTCATTTTACATTTCACTCCATAAAGGGGGGGGGGGTAATACTCTCAGGCTAACCACCTCACTAGTGCATATATAAAGCTACAGTAGATTTATATTGGCAGTAGTAAAAAAGACTTACAGGCCATGTTATATATGTTGAGTGAAAGCAAAGTTAGTATTTTTGCCAGGGACCTTTCACCCAGATAGGTCCTGAACATGTGTGAGCTAACTGTGCTTTCACCTAAATTGATGGTATTAAGATCAAGGGACTTTCCATGATATAGGCGCTTCCAAGAATACCCTCAAACTTAGCAGGTACATCATTATTTAGAAAAACCCAACATTACCAGTTGAGACCAGATCTAATAACCAAGTAGAACGGATATAATAAAGGTAATGAATTGACACACATGATAATAAGCTGAGATAAATAATATACTGACATATTGGAAAAGACACTTTACCATTAGTAAGATGAGGAAAGACAAATAAGGAGAAAAGGAAACATCCCCTACTGAAGATGCATCAAACATAACATCAGCGTTAACATATGATAAAAATGGCATCCCAGCCTAGGGGTGGTAGGAGAAGAAGATGTAGTCCATGGAAGAAGCCATAATAATGGCCCCTGGTGGTGAAAGGGAAGGTGAAGGTAATGAGGAAGATGATGGCTAACACCTCAGGTTGTTCTAGCAGGAATAGTGTGAATATATGGTATAGAAATATGAATGTACATTCCCTATCTAAAGAAACTGGAGTGTTTGTGACTGTGCTAATTGCATTAATAAACTATAATTGTAAATATGGGTTCCTATCGTGTGAGTGTTGCAACGGTGCACATCAGGGTTTCCAACCATAAAATAATTGAATACTGGGACTGATCCTGGGACAAAGAACCTGTCAACCCTAACAGTGGTAACCGGAATTCAGATGCAATCTTGGATCAGGCTACAATTCATATCACAGACAAGTACAGCACAAGTTGCTACGTCAACAGCAGCCCACTCCAGTGTATTGTGTTATTCTCTAATAACAGATTTTTTGAAGAGTGTTTTTCTTGCGCGCTATCCTGAGTGTTAGTCCTTCATCTTGGATTTCTGGGTTTTTTTTCTTATAGTCATTCCTCTGATTTGCATTTTGAATGGAAAGGTTTGATGGGAAGACCAGATGCACCATTATTCACAAGTGCTTATTGCCTGTCTATTTGTGTGCCCCAGAACAAAGCGCCTGAGTTAAAAGAATATTGACTTCTCCCTCCAATGTCTAGATGGAAAAGCGGGGGGAATGTGTGACAGACCCAGATCAATTGGCTGCAGAAACCTGGTAAAAAATAAGTATATTGGCCACTGGATGAATAGTTTTCTAATGCATGAGTGACCAGGGCAGGGGCTTCTCCAGAACAATCAGGAATGTGCTAGAACCAATTAAGTCAGACAGACACCATAAAGACACAATTAAGAGCTTGCTACAAGCAATTAAGAGAAACAGGCTAATCAGAACACCAGCAGCTTATGAAGAACCTGCTGGGACTAGTTTAAAAGGTGCCATGTCAGAGAGGATGGTTGGTGAGGAGCTGGGAGTTAGCTGATACACCATGGAAGAACTGAGAGTGGTTAGGTAGCAGGAACAAGGTGCTGGGAGGGGCCATCTGGAAAAGTGGCCCAGGACAGGGTTATAGCTCTGGTAGTACCTGTTGCTGCTGCCATTAGGGTCCCTGGACTGGAACCTGAAGTAGAGGGTGTGCTTGGGTTCTCCTCTACCCTCCCTGAACCACCACAGAGCCATTCCCTGAGAGGGAAGACTGAGACTAAGGAGGATTCTCACACCAAACCCCTTGACTGGCCTATGAGGAAGGTGGTTCAGTAGGTTGTGACCGTTGCCTCCAGAAAGGGGGAGAGGCTACATCACGAATCACAGTGAGCTTTTGAGAGACAAACTACCTAGAAGCACAGGACTCGTACTGGGTGGGTTTATGCCCACCCACCTTCCGAACGCCAATAGGAGCACAGGACTTATAAGGCAAAACTGGAGCTTTGCCACAGATGATGAAAGCTGCCTCTTGTTCAGCTCTTATTTATCATGCATAGTGGTCACTTCATTGACGGCTCTCCACAGACCAATGGAGGAAGAGGACCTCCATCTCTGTTGGTCAGTTCTGCCAGTGCTCTTCCCCTTGTTTTCCAGAGAGGGGGTGGGACCATTATCAAAATATATTGAAAGCACCTTTTATACCAGAACTATAGGCCCTGGAAGGAGGTGCAGGGATTAGAGAGAGCACAGATTTACATGAAATGCTTGGCTATAGGAAATATGCAGTACGAAAGGAAGCAATATGAATAAATGTAAGGGCAGCCCCATGAAGCAAATAGCAGAATGATTCAGGTTAATCCAACCTGAAACTGTGCAGAAATTTCAGTTTCTGACTGGAGAGGGCAGTAAAGAAGGTCCTCGGAAGCTGATTATGCTTATGCGCTGAGGCACAGAAAGCTTCACTGGCCCCAAAATAAACAAAACACAAATGTCACTGACAAGTGGATCAAGACAAAATGATTTTTAAACTGAGAGAACAAGAGCAGGGCTGTTTCTGAGCAGGCTACATGTTTACAGGTTCTGTGGGAACATCAGAAGTGCTGATCATACAGTTTCAGGGCCAATCTTGGTAATTTAGTTTGACAGTTTAAGGGCTGTAGCTTCCAAAGGATGAGAAATAGAAGATTGCCAGTGACCGTGGGTTCCTCCTACGTAGGCTAAGAGTCTGCACTGTGCAGGCGTGGTCCAGTCTACTGCATAAACAGATATCAAAACAACTCAATACATGGTCAATAAATTAGTGCTCCAAGAACACAAAAGATTGCCCTGCATCGCATTCTTAGGGTACTATCAGTTTCTTAACCATTTTTCTCCACACATCTTATGAGATGGTCAAAAGTTATTTTTGACTAAGCCACAAAAAGGTCAATGCTTGCATGAGGCTGTACATATTGGCCAGGTTTTAAATGAGTTTCTGTAGTGTTCCTATAGGAGCCAAACCTCAGTAACTGGTCTAAATAACTTCCTTTGGAATCTGATATTCACCCTGCATACATCTGCTCAATGTGGCTCAGAACGCTTTACCATGTACTCAGCTCAGCTAAGAGGAGAGAATTCTAAGCATCTATTAATAACATGCTAAAATGATATTTCCTCTCTCTGGTGGTTTCAAGGCAATTGTTCCATGGAAGCTTGTCTGATGAAAATGACTGGGGGGATTGCCGGAGAAACATTTCTAACTTTGGCTTTGGTTTCTTATGTGGACAGCGTCAACTGGCTCTTTCATCATCTTAGTGCCAGAAATTGGGGCTTGCTCTATGCTGACTTTTCACCAGTTTCCACCCTCTAGTTTCTCAGCATAAATTAAAAGGAATGTATGTGGAGAGAAGATTGGAGATGCCAGCAGCTGGACACCTAGTCTAACACTTTGACAGGTCTTAATTCACACTGCCAGATCCGTAACTGAGGTATATCAGTCTATTTCCATTGCCAATGGAGTTTCTGGCCCAATAATCCTATCAGGAGACACATGAAAACATCACAACCCCTACTGCCTTACCTAGTTGATGTCCCAGGGATGGGACGTCCTGTGTCAACAAGAACACACCAGCAGTAGCCCGTGGAAGGATGACACTGCACGGGCTTGTAAAGGCCTCCCTGAGCGCACTCTGGAATGAATACATTGTCTTTTTGGGGTTGTTTAGCTTCCTCCAGTGCTGACTGAAGTTCTTGATCACATGACGATGCTGTTGGAAAGAAAGAAATGAAAGGCTGATGAGGATACAGCAAGCGCCCTTTGGATTAATGGAGCGATAGATAATCCCTAGCTCCATGCTATCACATCTGAGAACTAGGTTTTAAAAGACTTGTTGCGATAATATTTTCCATTTACTAGACTCAAACTTCAGGTGCATTATGCCCTCTCCCTTGCCCCCTCTGGCATACACTCTCCCTGCTCCAAACTGCTGGTGACAGCTCCATATTACCCTTTGCTAAGGGGTATTCTTGGATACCCAATAAATGCAGCTTTCTTGGATATCTTTTAGATGATTTTTCTTGGGTGGGGAGGAGGATGAAGATGAGTGAAACTTTCTTTTTAGAGATCATTGGGAAAGGTATCTTAATCCATTTTTTAAAAATGCCACGTTAAATGAATTCACTTCTTCTGTACTTTTATATTCTGCTCTTTGCTTTCAGCTAAGGAATAAAAAGAAACACTTAAATTAATTGCAGATCCATCTTTCCTCCTTTCTTTCTTGTTGGCGAAAAGTGATGTATTATCAGTTGTGGAGACTAAATACCTCTGCTATCAATATAAGTCGAAGAGGCAGTATAATCCTCCCACACAGTCAACGGTTCTCCTCTGGAGGAGCCATGCTTTGTAGGAGTATGAGGGTAGCTCTGTCTTCATGTCCATTCAGTTGCTGGCCTTTCTGCTGTAACTGTGGACAAGGAGGCCAACAGTTTGTGGACAGCTGCCCAATGAGAAATCAACTGATATCACCAATTTATTTAATATTTGCCATTACAGAGCCTTGAGGCAATAATGATTTTTGATCACCACCAAACTGGATTAGATTCAGACTTCAGAAATCAAAACATTTCATTGCCAATCTCAGTCTTCCAGGAACTTTAAAGTCGTTCTGTATTTGTGCGCATGATCCCACAAAGAATAACGGGTTAATAAAGAATTAGTTCTGTGTTAGTCCTGTCTTCATCTAGTGAACAAAAACTAAACACTTAAGTGCAATGAGTAAGCTGGAATGCTAATGATTCACCTCTTTTCTGAATCTACAGCAGTCTTCACCACTTTTCACAAATAAACCTGTGACGGCTATAGATAAATCTTGGACTATGTTTTTGAACCATTGCCAGTGGGTTATGGCTTCAAAATAATCTCATCTCGTGTCATCCATTGTGTGAATGAAATGCTTTATCAACAGGAGAGGCACTGCCTACAGAAACTTGGCACCAATGGTGCAAAATGCTGTTGTTCTAACTTCATCCCTATCCTTTTGCTACTCAGAGGTACTATTAAGATATACTTTGGCATGGTGGAAAAGAAATGAGCAAATTCTGTTCATATCTTGATACCATAAATAGCAGGCAAGTCTAGCTTTGAGATGGCCATGTTCCCAAAACATGATGAATCGCTTCCAACAAATATGAAAAGCTAAATCTGCTGACTTGATTGCCCAGCACTGATGGGGGTTTTTCAGAGCTGTGGTCATGGTCCCTTACGGTGTGTATGGCAAGTGAACAGTAGAGCAAGAGGCTCCCAAAGCTCTGATTAGTTTTGCACACCCTTTGGTAGGTATAAGCACTAATGTAACATGATATTAAAAAGTTTTAAAAGTATTGACATTCAAATTACACACCATAATTAGAGGATCTATTTAGTGTGGGTGGAGGCATTGTTTAATAACTTTGCAGTACGTAATTATTTTCACTTTTAAAATACTTATTACAATTGCTCTTGTTTCACTGACTTGAAATCCATTACCAGCCTGTGCATGGAGGAAATCAAAATAAGTCTTTTCCTCAGTGAATCTTGATCATGATGATGATGGCATTAAAACATGGTGCACCCCTGAAAAATACATTGCTTAGCCTGCATGTTCATTTTGTTTTCTTTCTACATGTTGAACTCTTCATCTGATAAAGTAAAGAGAACCAAATGGAGCAGGGGTGGGCATTTTGCTGACATTGTCCATTCCCAGAGCCCCCCTCCCCCCACTACAGCTCCCAGTAGCATGGTTTGTCATTGCCAGCCAATGGGAGTTTCAAGAAAGGGCAGCCAGCATTTCCTTTGGCCCCTTTGCCTGCAGGCACCATCCCCATAGCTTCCATTGGCCGAGAATGGCAAACCATAGCCACTGGGAGCTGTGGGGATCAATGCCTTCCAGCAGTCAACATCAGCAAAGTGTCTCATGGCCTGCAATCAGATTACTTGAATACAAAGATTTCCCTCTGGTCTTATTCCAGTGTAACTAAAAGCAGAATCTGGCCTCTTCCTGGTAAGAACAGAGAATGGAGTAACGTATTTCAGTATTCCCAGAAGGGTAGCTATGTTAGTCTGTATCTGCAAAAACAACGAGAAATCCTGTGGCAAGAGACTAAGCCCTGGTCTACACTAAGGAATTATTTCAAAATAACCCCCTTAGGTTTAATTTATAAGTGGAGCATCCACACTACCAAGCCCATTATTTTGAAATCTCTACTCCTGCTTTCCTCTGAGAATAACACTAATTTTGAAATTGCTATTTCAAAATAGTGTTAATGTGGACACTCTGATACCACTATTTCGAAATAACTACTCCCCAGAGTAATTTGAACTAATTACTTCCTAGTGCTTCCTGGGGCTCTAAGTCGAGGTAGCATGTCCACATTAATGGAGCCTCCCTTGGACTAATGTCAAGGGGACATGCTATTTTGATTTTGTAAAATCGGAAATTAAGTTGAATTTAGTTATTTCAAAATAATTTCCTGGAGTAGACATGCCCTACCAGATTTACTGGAGCATAAACTTTCATGAGTAAAACCCACTTCATCCAATTCATCAAATTCATCTGATGAAGTGGGATTTACCCACAAAAGTTTATGCCTTGAAGTAACTCTAATTTTGATGGGCCGGAATGGCACCATACCACCGGCCCAGAGCCACAGGAGGTGGTGCATTCAGACACATCCCCTCCCATATCTGGTATGCCTGTGAGACACTCTCCTGCTTTCTGAGTCTAGAAACAGGTCATACAGAGGTAGGGATATTGTCTTTAGATTTCCAGGGATTCCTCTGTATCAGGGGATTTTCAGCTGCCTGTTCAAACCAGCACTGTGTCTGCTTTGCACTGAGATTTGGCCCCTTTGGTCTAGTTTTTTGTGTCCAAAATATAGAAAAGCAGTGATAAATTGGAGAAGTTTCAAAGAAGCATTACAAAAGCAGTGTGAAGTGTTAGAAGCCACATTGCATAAGTGGTCAGAGCAAGAACTGTGGATCTTTTCTTGGAGGAGAGAAAGGAAAACAGCAATTTAAAATTGCCTCACACATAGTAAACAACGGAAGGAAGGAGTGACGCAAGATTTTCAAGCAGGGGAAGAAGACAAAGGGGAGTAGACTAAACACAGGGACAACAGAATCCATGGCAGATGTTAAGAATTCTCATCTAACAAAGATATTTATCTGGCGCCATAATAATATGCCCTCAAAAGGCAGCATCACCATATGTATAGATATCCTAAGAAGTACTTACTATCTCTAAACCATAACAACATGAAGGTTAGAAGTTGTAGGAAGAGGTGGAGTTAGTCATATGACATAAGAACAGTCATGCTGGATCAGACCATGTTCCATTCTCCTCAGTAATCCTAACTCTGAAAATGGGCTATGAGCAGAATAGGGCAGTTATGATAATACACCCATCTTCTACTTCTAGTTTTGGATCATCAGAGTTTCAGAGTCACCTTGAATATGAATTGTGTCCCTGAAGTGTGTTGCTTTGAATATGAAGTATGTCCCTGACCATCTTGGCTAATAGCCATTACTAGGCCTATCCACCATGAACTTATCCAGTTCTTTTTGAAATACGTTTATATTTTGGCAATCATAACATCTCATGGCAATGAGTTCCACAGATAAGTTGTAGGACAAAGTGGTGCAGTTAATTGAGGAGTGAGTTGTTTTATACTAACCATACTGCTTATTAATTTTATCAGGTGATCCATGTGCTTTATATTATATCTAAAATAAACAAAACTTATTCACTCACTTTTTCCAAATTTTACCATACGATCAACAAACATTCATTTACTAGCAAAATCACTGTAAATACCAGTACTTTGCAAAGCTCCTGAGAGATTGCCCAAGCAATCTGACAACTACTGGGGAGGGGACTGCAATAGGCGATGCCAGAAAAATTATAAAAAAACATTACAAAAAATCTATACCACAGCAAAAGTAATTTAAGTACATGGATAATTATTAGAGCTACTCAAAGGCACTTCAACAGAACTGTGTTCCTTTGGAATATGTAGCTTTTTTGAGATTGAAAGCTTTACCAAAATCAGATTGATTTTTGCCAGAAATTTTGTTTTAGAAGGAAAACTGGGAGAGGGGGGAAGGAAATGAACTGGACAATGTCAAAATGGCAGAGGGGTAGCTGTGTTAGTTTGTAACTTTAAAAATGAGTGGTCCTGCAGCACCTTAATGTTTACACTTGAGAGTTACTTCGAAATAAGCTATTCTTTTTCACAAGCAGGTGTTATTTTGAAATAATGGGCTTGGTAGTGTGGACACTCGCCTTGTTTCAAAATAAGGGGAGTTATTTTGAAATAATTCCCCTGTATAGATATGGTCTTCGAGACTAACCAAAAGATATAGAATCATGAGCTTTTGTGGGCAAAACCCACTTCATCAGATGAATTGGAGTGGAAATAACAGAAACCAAGATATTTATAAATATAAATAACAGCAGAAGCACCTGTCAATTATAGGATCTGTATTAATAAAGCTAATTAAGTCGTTAGTCTCTAAGGTGCCATAGGGCCACTTGCTGTTTATTCATGTGAGTGAATCACTTTGAAGTCAATTAGGCTATTTAATGTAAGCCAGGGTTACTCACATGAGTAAATGTTTGCAGGATCAGATATTAAAATGAGAAAAGGACAGTGCATCATTTGTGAGGGACAATGCAGAAGAAAGACTTATCTCTCCCTCAGTCTTCAGTAGTCCTAAAGTACCTATCACCCT